ACCACTGAAATAAACATTCTGAATGACTTAAAAAGCAGTATTCTGCACTAAGTAAACCTAAATTCTGATTTGTACCTAGTGCAATTTGTTAAAGTTGTGCACACTTAAAAAAATAATTTGGACAACATTCATTAGTGTTCATGTAAATGTAGGGGAAGGATTGGCAGAGCCAGAGGCAGAGTCAAAACAGGAATAAGCCTAGAATCTACATTACCACAAGTGGACTAAGCCCAGCTCCTCTAGAATTCAGTTAACTCTTATCTAGCAGCAAAATATTGTTAAATACTAATTGATTAGATTCTTGTGCATAAGTATCAGCAATAAATCAGTTTAATTAATTAAAACAGCCTAGTTTTAAATATCGGAAAAACCAAAGAGATCATTGTTGATTTCAGAAAAGGCAGGGATAGCCACACTTCTCTCTGCATTAATGAGTCACCTGTGGAGATGGTTACCAGGATCAAATTCCTGGGTATGCAGCTAATTAGTAGGCTGACTTGGTCGCTCAACAGTGAGAAACTGGCGAAGTGGGCACAGCAGCACCTACATTTTCTGTGTCGCATGAGAAAAGCACATCTTCCTTCCCCTGTCCAGACCACTTTCTACAAGGGGATGATCGAGAGCATCCTGTCATACAGCATCACAGTCTGGTTTGGAAGCATCACTGCTTCAGACAGGAAGGCAATGTAAAGAGTGTTGAGAATGGCCAAAAAGATCATTGGTAGTTCCCTCCCTCCCATCCAGGACATAGCACAGAAGCATTGCTTGAGCAGAGTCCATAAGATTATCTGGGACACGACACATCCTCTTCATGATCTGTTTTCCTTGTTAACTTCTAGGAGGAGGCTTTGTGGTATCCATAGCAGAACATCCAGATGCAGCCATAGTTTCATTCCATACAGCATTAACTTTGTGAACTCTCAAGCTTTCTCCTTCTGTTATATATTCAAGATGGACAATATTTAATATTTATTTGCTACATACATGTAGGGGTGTGAGTCTATACATACGTTGTTCATAGTATGTTTTAGATGTGTGTCACATATGTGTTTCACTTGAAAGCGGGCAACTAAATTTCATTTTTGATGTGTGCCATTGTGCCCACAGTAAACAAAATGACAATAAAGTTTATCTTATCTAATTGGAACTTAATGAATGGCACCTGATCTTTGCCCCTGACATTATTCTAGTCAACTCATTTCTCAAAACTTTTCAAAAAACTGCAATGAAAATATGAGAATGGCATCTGACCCACAGGCTGGAGCAGCAGCTGACCCAAGCCACATTGGACACTTTTTTGTGCCACTAAGACAACCAAGACGTGATCACTATTTTGGCACTATTTTTTTCTACATCAAAAAAATATGCTTTTGATTTGAAACAGCTGGATTTCTTGGTTTACTGCATTTCCACAAAAGAGGTTCCAATGGTTCCCAGGAAGCTTCAAGTGGTGCTTGAGTGGCACACTCCCTGCATAGCTAAAGATGTTCAGAGCTTTTTAAGATTTGCAAACTTTCACATAAAGTTTATCCTATGCATCATCCATAAAGTTAAATCTCTTACACAGTTGTTAAAGAAAGGAATCAAATTTGTTTAGATAGAGACCCAGCAAGCAGCACATGAAGAATTAAAATATATTTCTCCATGCCAACAGTTTTTTCAACAATCTGTCCAAGACATTTATTGCCAGACAGATGCCTCCAATGTGGCAATTGGAGCCATTCTCTTGTGAGAGGCACCGGGAGGGGGAAAATATTTTTTTTATTTGTTTGTTTATTTTTCATTCTCCCATTTTTTAGAAGGCATGCTTTGGTTCATAGAGGTTGGCCCAGATTATAAATACCTAAAAATGTTGCAGCAACAAACTAAGCCACTCTCACCCAGGCAAGTGAGGTGAAGCAAATGTTTCTCCCAATTTAATTTTTATATACAGTATGTCCCTGGCTTGAAGCTGTCCTGTAAACCAAAATTCTCTCAAGTACACCATTCACCAGTAATGGCAAGCATTTTGCAACCTTCTCATTTCAAATAAGTTACCTGCTCAAGTGACATCTGGGATATTAGGAGCAACTCAACCACACCAGGACTTAATCACCAGATTCATGGCACAACAACCTCTAGATCAATTCTCACCAACCTAGATGAATGCCCTCCAAGAAGCCCCACTACGTACTGTATCCCCATTTCTACTGGAGGAAGGGGCTTTGAAAGAACCTTTGATAAAGAATCTTTGAGAGGTTTTACTTCATACAACAATAACCAGACAGCAAGGGAATGGAAAGTGTTCAAAACGCTGCATAGAACACTAAGAGACTTTTAGTGTCCTAAAATGACAGTGGACATCAAATGTATCTTGCCACATCTGCAGAAAGGCTAAATCCCACCATCAGAAATTATTAGGGCTGGATTTTATTATTTTATCAGTGACTGCACATCCATATTTGTTGCAGTGGACCTTTTTACCAAGATAGCTCACTTTATCCCATGCAAGGGATTGCTCAACTTCTTTTGGACCATGGTTTTCACTATAGAGGCATGGTATCTAAACTAATTTTTGACAGGAATAATTAGTTTGCTTCCAGATTTTGAAGGGCACTCTTCCAATTTTTGAATGTTTAGGTAAGCTTTTCTTCAGCCCACCACAACCCAATGGTGAGATATCCTCAAATGCTCTAACAAACCTTAAGATATTTCTATACCTACTGCAAAGATAACTGGTCATAATTGTTGCCCTTGGCAGAATTTATATACAGTCACCATACATTGATTGCAATGAGTCATTTTAAAGCATTGTATGTTACAAAACTCAAGGGTTTTACCAGAGAACCCTTGCCTAGATTCCTTCCATAGCAATAAATTAGTTTAATTGGAACTTTACATGTGACCCTTATCACTTTGATATTCATTAAAGCAGAAGTTTTTTCCTTAACTTCCTATTTTTACTTTTTAACTCTGTCTTAAAGCTTGATTTTGAGTTTGTATAATCTTGATGCTATATGATTCAAATAACTGCCTATTATAAAATGTTACACTGTCACTCTAATTGAAGTCTATAAATAATGTCCAAAGGCAGTCCATCCAGACCATTTAACAAATGAATTCCATTCTTAATATTTTTATAGTAGTCCAAAGCAGAAATTCAAATGTTAGAAAAGAAATCCAAATCAAAGTATGCATACCAGTCTGTCGCAAACTGGTACCTCCAAATTTATTGGGGCTAAAATTTCCATCATTTCCAGGCTGACATGCATTTCCTTTAAAAAGACAATAAACAACTTCAGACCATTTGAGTTTCTGAAGATTTCATTCCTACCTTCTAGAACATTATTTTCTGGTACCTCTAAAGGCCATTAGGAAATAAAATATTTAATTGTAAGCATGCTTATTTATAAGTAATGTATAGGTAAGATAATTATTTTTAATTTTGATCAGACTATGAAAGCTGAATTTCAAGAAGCCTGGGGTTTCGTGAATAATGAATAAGACATTGTTTGGTAGGTGATCATCATACTAGCTTCAGTTAAATTGCAGCTTGTTTTTCATTTTTCTTATTTTTTAAAAGGAAAAGCCAAAAGATACTCTATACTGTATTCTTTCTTCATTTGAATGTGTTAGCTGTTGAACTCTCATGGATGCTTCATATTTAAAAATATTTTTTTAAACCAAATGTGATGTAATCAACTGATCATGTTGTGATGTAAATCTGTATTCTGGGACCACCTTAGAAGGACAATTGTAAAATATGGTAGAGTACACAAAAGTGAAATCAAAACAATCAAGAAGGTAGAACAGTCCTTTTGTGAATATGTAATACATTTTAAACCTTAATCTTGCATAAAATTTAATTAGGAGAGAATGATAGATGGGGGCATAAAATAATGTGTGTTGAATAAAAAGAGGATATAAAAATTAAATAGGATAAGTTGCCAATATAGTAAGCTAATAGTGATAATGGCTGTTTCACACATCTTTTGTCTCAAAAGCATTTGAAAAACATAACTAGGAGATACTATTTTGTGTATATCTTATTTGTAGGCTTCCAGTGGCTAATTAGTGGACAAAAAACACTCCATAAAATACCTCTGTGTGAATTTGGCTCCTGCTGATTATAAGGCTTTCCACTGCATTCAGACTATTGTTTTAAATACTCAGTCTAGTTTACAGCTCTGATTTTCTTGATGAGTTGACCTCTGAGTACTAACTAGCTCTAACTCTTTTCTTTGATATGAGCCAGCGTTATGCCATTTGCTTCCATCTGTTATCATACAAGAGACTAGATGAATAGATTTGAAAAGATGTTGTTCTTACCAAACATCATGGCTGGTCTTACCATAAGGAGACAGACACTTTTATAAAAATCAAATCAAGCCTTTGTGGTCAAAGACCAGCATAAGAAGAGTGGAATACAAGAAACTAAAAAGCATAACATATACAACAAAATAAAATTATATATAAAAAGCTAAATGGTATAAATGCAAAAGTCTAAAAAGGATCTTTAAAAAGACCGAATCTGAAAGGCCGGTTGGAGCAATAGATGCACGTAGTGGAACATGGCAAGATATACAGTACAATCAATCAATCAAGTTAGAATAGAGCTGGAAGGGACCTTGGAAGTCTTCTAGCCCCACCCTCTGTTCAAGCAGGAGATCCTATAGCAATTCAGACAAGTGGCTGTCCAGTCTCTTCTTAAAAATCTCCACTGATGAAGCACCTACAACTTCTGATGGCTAACGTTGTTCTCAAATCACGGGTTCTTGTGCTATAAGGATGAAAATACTGTCAAATAGGCTGATACAGAAGCAACACAACGCGAGCGGAGAAAGGGAGAGATTAGAAACAGGTAGCCACACCCACATGCGGCTTCTTCTGGTCCGTAGGTGCTGAATAGGAAAGCGCATTTCCATTCAAAGAGCGCATGATCGTCTGAGCCAAAGACGGGCAAAACGTCTCGTTTGCCCAGGGCGCCTGCGCAGAGCTTCGGCACACGCGCAGCGAAAGCACCCAGCGGAAGTGGCGGGCATCGGGCGCCTGAGCGGGGTTTGAGAGATGAGTACTGCATCCGGGGCATGATTTCGCCTATTGTCTGGTTTACGGAATTGGCCTAGGGGATCGCGCAGCCTCGCATTCAGCCCTAGCGCGGTTGCGATCTGAAGGGAGCAAAGCTCCCTGCCGGGTACAGGCGGTTTTCTGTATCCCCGGGAGCAGCTGCTCGGATTCAGTGAGTAAGTCCAGCAGCATCCCTGCAGTGACTCCTTATTCGCTCCCCTTCGCCCGAGAGAGCCGTCGTCTCATCGGTGCTCTCGAAGCGCAGCCTTTCCATAACCGGCAGCAAGCGTTTTTCCGGCCGTTGATGCCCGCATCTGCTTGGCATTTTCCTCCCCTACCCCGTTAACTCCGGTTGTGGTTTGCGGGAATCCCTTTTCCTTTTACTCGTAATATGGGGGCATTTTCATTGCGATTCCCCCCCCCCCATTCTCCGCCCTGATATGCTGTCCCCAAAGGGACGCAGCCTTTTCTTTCTTACCACCCACTCTTTCCAGAGCATAAATTGCATTGCTTTAATGCGTCTGAAGGGGTTTTTTTATGATTATTGTCCCCTCCCCTTTAAATAACTCTTAGTGATCACAAAACAACAACAAAACCGTGCGTCTCCCTTTCTCTTTCTTCTTTTTCGCAGTGGATCGTAGCTCGAAGAGGCGGCAGGTGAAGCCTTTGGCAGCTTCCCTGCTGGAAGCTTTAGATTATGACAGTTCAGATGACAGTGACTTTAAGGTTGGAGATGCTTCAGGTAAATCAATGCTTCTCCTTCTCATGTTTTAAAATAGTTTTAAATTGCTTCTCACCCCATCAATTTGCTTTATTTTTCTTTCTTTTAAAATAAAATGTCATTTTTAACATGCCTTAACTATTCCTAGGGGAAAAAAAGAACAATGTATAGATAACACATAAAACAACTATTTTTAGAAATGTGGGTTTACACATGGCACTGAACTATAAAATGCCTTGCTTGGTTTGGGTTTTTTGGACAATGGCAACCAAGCCAATTCAGTAAATCATAGCTGAGTACTGGCTGAATTTACATATTGCACTGAGTCAGTACATTCAATAATGATATGGCACTATTGGTTCATATATGTACAACTTACAAGCCAAAACGATTGAGTTTATGCAATATACTGAATCAAACCAAATAGGCCACTGTGAATGAATACAGAATAACTATCGAGTACAAGGAGAATGACCATTGAAACAGGAAAGCAGCATTCTGACACTTATGAAAGTTTAAGAATTGAGGCAAGTCACTTAATAAGACATAAGAAAGAGGGCATCATGTGTTTATCTGTCTTCGTCTATTAAAAGGTGAGGCATAGGAACCCTATTTTTCTTGCAACTAGTCTTTTTACATGCTTTTCTAGTCTCCCCCCCTTTTTTTCTTCTTTTTTCTTTTCTTTTTGGCCTGTCTGGTTTCTTCTGTGTTTGTGAGTAATCAGTTTCCACGATTACTCTCACTCTATTAGCCACTATTGCATATGCTCAATCTGTCAGGGAATATACCTGAAATGTTCAACACACAAGCAGTCTGGGTAATTTTCTCTTCTCGGTGACACAGCTTTCATAATATTGGTTCCCTCCTTCATTTGGTACACAGGTAGTCCTCGACTTACAATCACAACTGAGTCCAAAATTTCTGTTGCTAAGTGAAACATTTGTTGTGAATTTTGCTCCATTTTACCACCTTTCTTGCCACAGTTGTTAAATGAATAACTGCAGTTGTTAAGTTACTAACATAATTGCTAAGTGAATATGGTTTTTCCCAGTGATCACATGACCCCAGGACACTTCAGTAGTCATAAGTTTGAGTCAGTTGCCAGGCATCTGGATTTTGATCACATGACCATGACGATGCTGCAATGATTATAAATGTGAAAAATGGTCATCAGTCACTTTTTTCAATGATGTTATAACTTTGAACGGTCACTAAATGAACTATTGTAAGTTGAAGACTACCTGTATAATGCAGGAAGAAAGCTGGAACTGTTATCCAGCATGCTCCCTGCTGCATAATACTGTAATAATGAAAATAACCATTATTTTCTCAGCCGTCTTCTTCATTGATTAATTGATGTTAGCCAGTTTTTATTATATCTTCTAGCAGTTCAGTAAAAGATTTACATAATTTGATGTTAGACTATTTTTATCTAGAGACTTCAGAATCTTCTATCCATCTAGCTTTTGATTTTAGCTTTAAAAGAACTTTAGTTTAAATCTTTAAAAAAAACCCAAGAATGCAAGACAAAATGCTGCTCGGAATGTAGAAATGAAGCATGGCACATGGGTGCACCTTGAAGTAATGGCACATAGAGTTGTGAATTATGTGTTTCAAAATGTGATATAAAATAAATAGAATGTATAGAGGTCCATCTGCAGAATCAGGTTAATCAAGATAAATATAAATTAAGCATGAGAAATGAAATTTGGAATCCGTATATAATAATTGTTTTGCTTTGCATAGGTTAATTTATCTTGTAAGTGCAGATTTGGATATACATTACGAATCAGTTATGAATTATTCACTGCACTTTATATATAAATGTATACGAAGAAATGTTTCTAATCATTTTTATGCTGGCAATGGAACGATAGTTTGTTCAAAATAATGTTGAATCCAATAAGCCTTTTATTGATTATTGGGCAATTATAAAATCATTATAGTTTGACAAATGCAGGTAGTTTAAGAATTTAATTTTATAAAATATAGCTATTAATCAATGAATATAAATTTGGATTAATTCTATTTAAAATAGATATTTTGTTTATGTTTAATGTTATGAGCTTATATGTTTTTGATTTGCACAATGAGTAGAAGGCACTATGATTATGTCACATTAAACAGGTTCTATTTATTATTTCTGCTAACATGGCAAGCTACATGTCATTATTATTAGTGAACAGTTGTTGGAGTATAACCAAGGTAAGTAGGGTCAAAGAGACTGTGGGATTTGCAGTGTTGAATTACATTTTCAGCATACCCATTTATTGGGCACATTAGTTTGGATGGTGGGTATTCTAGTTTCCTCATCTCTGATATGTAACATATAACAATAACTGTAAAATTTATCAGAGTATGATATATAACATTAAGCTAATTTAAATCTGATCTATATCTTGATAAATAATATTTTTACATGTTAACATAAAGAAATAATTTCTAATTTTTTAAATTTGAATCAGTTTGGTGAATGCATTCAAAGTGATCAATCAGTACCATAAGTAATTAATATTCAAATTATTAATAGAAATTAATTATATCTAGTATCATTAATTTTTTATTTATAAATGAAAATTTATAAAATATTCATTTGGTAGCACATTTTTTGTTCATCAAGGCTATAACAAAGCTAGGCTGTGTACCTTATGTAAAGTTGTCATATATTTGGGTTATGGAATCTAGCTTATCCTTTACATCAGATTTCTCCAAGTTGACATCCTCTGTATATATTGTGACTGTAATTCTCAGAATTTATGACCAGTGATAGCAATCCCAGTCAACATGGTACTGGACCTTGGAAGTCTCTATCAAATATAATCTGAATGGGCATTCTGAGAATTATGGCAGTACATTAGGAGATGTCAGGCTTTATAGATATACCATTGAATCAATTTTACTATCTAACAAATCTCCCAGATATTGTGGGGATATCTTCCCCCAAAAGGTCATTGCCTAAAGTATAAATATTTGAAAAAAACACTAAAGGAATTGGAATACTGCCTGTATGACATTCAAATAGTTTAGTACATTATTAACTTCATGAAAGTCATACTAAATAAGCAGATGGATTAGATACTACTTAAATAGCTCTTTGTACATTTGAATATCTGTACATGATAAGTTATTTTTAAAGAAAATGCCTTGGGAGAAATCTATTTTTGTTGCATTGCCACTACACCCATCTGAATATACGTTTGAAGTTTATTATATTACCATATCAGAGTTCATACAAGCTATACATAATCATCCTTTATATTTTCAGCAGTAAACACTGTAGCATTGTAACAACTTTATATTTGAATCTACTTTTTCAGTGCATCAGTAAAAAATACCTATACTATAGTAATACCATGTGGCAACTTTCCTATTCAGAAGTTTTCTTAATCCAAACTGTCCATGCTACTCTAATAAGGTTCAGCTGGAGAGCACAACATTTGAAAAGGCAATTATATTTTCATATATCTGCTACAGTTATGAAGTTCCAAATTCTTATTCTTGAAACTTTCTGCATGACTTTGTACAAGTCATTGCTAGTTTAGTTTGTAACATTTTTGTGAGGTAAATGGCTAAATAATGCAATATTTTAATTTTATTTCTTGAAACCAGATGAGGACTTTTCCAACCTTGTGACCTCAAAATGCATTGGATTACAACTCCAATACATAATTTTGGAAGTCCTGGTTAGAAATTATAGGAATGGTTGTTAGAGATATACGGAAATAATAGGTTAAAGAGAGTAAAAAAACCTACACTTCTGTTTTTTTTAAAAAAAACTTTACTGGTCCCCTACATTAGGTTGATTAAATGTTGTTATTTGAGTATGTATTTTTTATAAAATGATTAAAATGCATTTTTTCAAAGGTAGTTTGGCTTGTCACTTTAATATGAAATGATAATGGTTATTGAAGATTGCCAGTTTTGATACATAAGAATATTAAAACTGATTCATCATTTTCAGTTCTTTAAAATTCTGAAATGTATAATATTGCAACAGTCTTCCTTGCAGTTCATGATGTGAAGCCTTGAGTTATATTTTACTTGAGATGAGACTAATTACAATAAATATCAGTATTTCAGACTAATTTATGCAACTGGATTAGGCAATCTAAATTAAAGATTTGTCCTGAATTAAAATTGTTTCTTATCATTTTTATGTAGGAAACACTTGTTCATTATTATCTTTTTAACAATTTTGGTGCTGTTTACTTATTTAATAGGCGGCCCATGTCCCAAAATCTACAAGTAGCCTACAACCAAAAATCGACATACAACTAACCAGGAAAGCAAAATACCAAAATAATATAAAATAAAGCACTATCCTCAGGCTTGGGAGACCAATGCGGTCTTCAACCAAGAAGTCCAGGATTTTGCCATGCTTTTTCTCACCCATCTTCCGGTTACTTCGACATTCCAATTTGCCTTAAGAACAATAAATTCATTATATTTATTACAGTGGATTTACAGTAATTGATAATTCAAGAAGAAAGACAATTTCTGAGACAGCAAATAAATATCATTTTAAATAAGAATGTACAAACCAATTTAAAGTTAAATAAGTTAAAGATTCCTTCCAAAGTTTTTAAAATGAATTGAACTATTGGCATTTTCCTTTTGAAAGAGATGGAAATAAACTTTCTTTAAATTATTGAAACCCCTTTTTACTGCTACAGTGAACTGAAAGATCAACTCACTCAGTTTTGTGCATATGTTAAGAGAAGGAACCTCCTACAAATTCACTTTTTGTCTCATTGGAAAAAAATATGTGGTAGGAGAGGATGGATGACAAGAACCACATGTACCACTCCATATATAGCATATCTGTATAAATACAATTAAACATTTTTAATGATAATTGGTAATTAACTTATCCTAGAGAATTTTATATGAATGTTATAGACATCACTGAGTCAATATAGGTAAATATGCAAAAAAGTTGCATATTTTAATTTTACTTCTTATTACTGAAATCTTTTGAGAACTAATATATAACTATATTTCATAAATAATAGTACTGCATTTTTCACTTAACATACTAACATTATATATGTTAGACTTTAGGTTTGTAAGATTCCTTTCCTTGCCAAAATATTTTCAAGTTATTTTTTTTTAATTTGCAAAAGCAAGAATGTTGCAGTGATAAAATGAGTAATAGGGACTCACTTTAGGAAAAAAAAAAGCTTACCATAAGTTGATTTTTTTATCAGCTTTATCAATAATAAAATATCCTTTTAATTGAATTCATTTGTTCTGATTATATGGACACATTATATTATTTCCCTGTTAGTAATACTGTAGGAAAGAGTTTTGTCACTATTCCTTACAATAATTTAAAAAATTTTTCAGGAGCCAGGAATACAGCCCTGATATATTGCCTAGAGGACTCTCATCCAAACACTAACCAAGCGTGCTACCTGCTAAGACTTTTTCAGCTATTGTGATACATAAAAGTGTCTGTATGCAATGCAGGCATCTCTGAGCATGCATATAGACATATATTCCCATACATGTTTTTGTATATGTATGTAGTTTCCATCTATATTTGACAAGAATATTATCTTAGCAAATATATTTATATATCTTATTTAATGTTATTGTTTCAGCTCCTCAGTTTAAACTCCGATTAGATGAAAACAAGACATTTACTATTTCTAGTAGAATTCAAGTTGCCTATCTAATTGTCCTGTCTCAGTTTGCCATTTTTGTTAATTGGTGCTTGTGATGGCTTTCTCTTCCCCAGCTTCTCTTCATGCTAGAAAATCAGGAAGAAGAGTCCTCTATATTGCCTTGAACTTTTGGAGCTTTTAGAAGCTCTGCTGCTGTTTCTTGGTTGAAAATGAAATGTAGCTCCATTTTTCTCCAGATATTGCTAGACTTTGCAATAGGTTTCAACAATAGAGTATATGAGGTTTCATATAATGCTAATTTAGGGATATTCCAATTAAATATAGCACACTAATAATTATCCAAGTATTTCATTGAATCCAATAGTCATATTCTACTTTGTTTACTGATTAGCTAAAATGCTTTATTCCAAAGAATAATGGCATATGCATACTAGAATGAGGAAAAATTCTAGAGCAGGCATGTCAAACTCGCGATGTCACATGATGTCGCACGACGTATCGGAGCTTTTTTGCCATTGCCATCAATGAGGTGGGTGCGGCTCCGGTATGATGAAACTGGCCCACGGACCGGCAGTTTGACACCCCTGTTCTAGAGGGGTTTTTTTAAATCAGATGTATAGGAAAAATCAGATGTATTCATAAAAAAGATGGAGCATAAATGAGGACCGCCTTCTTGTAGTGCCATGCTGTCTTTCAAATTATGTTTCTAAAACTGTTTAACTCTCAGTACTGTTATGTTCTGGTTTTTAGAAAAATGAAGTCATTCATATTTTTGTTGCATGTATAAGATCTGTTGAGAACATTATAATTTTATCTATTCTGTGTATCTGCATAAAAATATACATGTAGTTATTTATTAATGTAACAAGTATTTTTTTTTCAACAAAAATATTCCCAAGTAGCCATAACTAAGATACCAGTTCATAAGTTATATTCTGTATATAAATGTTATATCATGATAACGTAGTTGTTTGTTCTAAAACAACCAACTAAAGTTTCAAAGACTAGAGTAGAGGCTTAAATATACCCAAATAAATCCTAACATTTTGCTTTATATGTTATTCTTTCTCTTCATCCAAAAAGATCCTGATGGCACTTTTACAGAAAATAGGAAATAAACATCAATGTATATGTTAAATAAATTAGATTTCTTTTACAATTAAATACAGCTATATTACAATTTTTATTTAATTAAATGACAATGTACAAAAAGTTTGATATGATTATTTCAAGAATTGTAATTATTTTAGAAAGAATTATTGTGTGAAATGGTTTATTGATCTGTTTAAATCACATATTTAGTTAGTCTAGCAAACTTAAGTGAAATTAGTTGGGTGCTGAGCTGTATATCTAAACTTGTGGTTTTCAGCTCGTCATAAATGGGACAGAAAGACAGATAAAAATAGCTGGCTACTAAGAAAATAATATTTAATTTGACTAAGCAGATTGCCTCAAGCTTTCTTTAACAATTTTTTTTGGTACATTTTATTTTGGAATTCCTTTTTTAAATTCTCATATGCTCAACAGATTCTGAAGGCAGTGGACATGGCAGTGAAGATGGATCAAAGGATAGCGGAGAAGGTTCCTGTAGTGAATCAGAAGAAAACATATTGGAGGAAGAGCTGGCAGAAGAAGAGGAAGAAGAAAAAAAAACAGAGGAAAAACTTAAAAATTCAGGTGGAGAAGAACTGCCACTAACAGAGAAAAAGACTATTAAAACTGAGAAAAAAGAAGAGGAGGAAGAGGAGGAAGATAGAGAAGTAGATGAGAAGGCAAAAAAGAAAAAGGAGAAAGAAAAAGAGGGAGAGAAATCCAATGAAGGAGATGCTGGTGTTGATGAGCACACAAATGAGCCGAAAAAGTGGAACCTGAGAAGAAATCGCCCTCTCTTAGATTTTGTATCTATGGAAGAACTAAATGATATAGATGATTATGATAGTGAAGATGACAATGATTGGCGCCCAACTGCAGGGAAAAAGAAAGGGAAAAACACATTACGCAGAGAAGGAAGTGATGGTGACAATGAGGATGATGAAGATGATGGGAGTGGAAGTGATGAGGATGACAATGAAGAGGAAGGCAATGATGATGAAGATAGCAGTGCTGCTAGCGATGGGGAATCCAAGAAGAAAAAAAACAAAGCTCTTAGCAGAAATAGTGTTGAGGAGGAGGAGCTGACAAATGATAGCCTGGCTCTTTCACAGAGCAAGAGCAATGAGGTAGAATAGCCAACTTTATATTATCTTCTGATGAAAAATGGAACCTACTCTGCAGTGTGATTCCTTTGAAATTATTCTTTAAAGCTATGCAAAGTTACTGAATAGTGATTGTATTAAGAGGCTCTTAATTGTGCTGAGTGCTCCTTAAGATACTTTTGTTTCAGCTTTTGGATTTAGATTTTTGGATTTTACAATATGAATTCTGGATTCAGATTTAAGTGTATTTCAGATTTAACTTCTAGTAAGAATTTAACCTGTTGACCCTTTTACAGCAAATGCACGAAAGGCCCATGAAAAGTAAGCATGCACAGTTTCGTAGGGATGACTGGTGCTAAAAATCAGTACATTCCCTGTTATACCAGGACCTAGGGACTTACATTCAATAGAAACATAAGTCTGTGTTGTGTAATTTTAAAAAATCATGAACTTTCACAAAAAAAGAGGCTTGATATCAAGCTTTCATTTATATTCTTATGCTGAGACATTAAGATGACTTGCTTTACCACTATTTTCTGAACATTAATAATCTTAGATATATTTTTTTAGTAAAGCATCAGGTTTTAAAAGTGTTACGATTCAGTTGTATTTCTTGAGATTAGGCTTGGTTTTATTTTTTTTTACCAAAGAAGCTCTTCATCATTGTTTCTGAAATTTTAAATTTATTTAATCATAACTGAATCCCATAAGTGCATGTATTAATCTCATAAATGCACATTATTAAGCACTAAATTCTCATTTGAAAGATTTTAAACTTTTAGATAACATATACATCTTTTTAAAGTTTAAATATAAGATATTGTTAAAACATCATGGAAACATTCTTTACAATATTAAAGTCATAGCCCAATTGTCAATATCTTCTTTGTTCATAAATAAATTAACAGGGCAGTCCTGTGTAACTTGGCTTGCAAATAATGGGAAATCCTCTAGTCTTATTTAGAATTGTTATTTTAGTGTAACAGTGTAGCATCAGTTTTTCTATAGATTATTATAATCTGCTGATAATAAAAAAAACAGCAGACTATTATCCACCAGTCATGTACATGACATGAATGGCCATATAAATTTACTAAATAAATAAGTAGAGAATGAGTCCTGTTTAAGCAACTCTTAGAAATTACCTGCAGCTAAAAAAAGCTATTAGGATTTTGCTTAGGGCAAGTGGGATTTATTTTCAGATGTGTCACATCTATAACAAGCATTTAAAGTTATGTTTGCATATGCCAATACATTGATTTTGTGCTCTATAACCTGACTATGTATTATAATGGATACTCTATCATTGTTGAATTATTTGATCTTTTTTCAGTATAGTTTTCATAGAAGGATGATGATGATGATGATGATGATTATTATTATTATTATTGCCTTTAGGACAGCTTCCCAGAGTTGCTTAATACATTTTACAAGTATTAATATGCTGAATATTATAAAGTTCTTATTAATATTATGCCTACAATATCAAAAAACCAAAGGAGGTAAAACCATGCTCAGCAAAACTGACTTTGAAGTTTTTATTAAAGCATTTCTTGCCATCATCTTGGAAGCTGTTTTGAAGAACCAAAGAGGCATTTTAACAGTTTTACATTACTAGAAGCTATTGCAATGAAATCTTCAAAGATTTGATGGCTGAGTACAAAAGTTTATCTCTCTTTCCCCCCTCCCCCTCCTCTCTCTCTCTCTCTCTCTCACACACACACACACATATTAGTTTTTCAGACTGAAAGCTGCATCTGTATTCTATTTTAAGGAATGAAAAAAACTGAGGGCCAGAGAGATTAATTGCTCTGAATCACTTTGCTAAATGCCATGTACTATTTGCTGATGGTAATCACCGCTGTAGTTTGAAATTTCTCAGTGAAACAATGTATTATAGTTAATATTTCAATCTGGTTTTCTGAATTCTCAGCCTTGATCATTTATTATGTATCTACTTCCTTTGCTCCTTAAAACATGAAGAAAATGAGAAATATTGAAAAATTTAATAATTTTGATATATCAGTCAAGAAATGTATTAATCTTATATTTATGTAATCTAGACTTTGCTTACCAAAGTTTAGTACAGTAGTGTATGTTTGGTTAGGATATGAATAAGCATCTACATGGAAAGCCCATGCTTTATTCTAACATACCTATCTTTCTCAACTTTTATACTTTGTGACAGTAACTACTTTAAATTGTCACTTAAAATAATTAAGCATTATTATTGCACTATTTTTATAGAAATGTCCTCCTAATAATGTATCCATATTAATTGGTTATGTTTTCTGATGAGTATTTTATCATAGCTTGTCTGTCACATTCTAAGAAATTCACTGGGATTCAGTTGCAGTTCTATAATTTGTATAGAATTAAATAGGAATCCTGGAACATCAATGAGATCTTGCTTTCTCAAATCTTTTGAGGCCTACAATGTGTATATATGTTTAAAATAGACACATTAGAAAGGTAATGACTTTATTTTATTTGCAACAAATTTTATATTACCATAAAAATCATTTTGAATTCTGTGAGGTTTACTTGAAAGCAGGTATGTATAAAACTAGAGCTCTAATGTAAAAATTATAATTTTAATTTGCATAGTGTATATGACAAAAGCCAAACAATTGTTTTAAAGAAAAAAAACAAGTTTTCACATTTTGTAAATATATGTGCATATAACAGCATCATCTTAAAAATTAACATTTTTTGGGATATTACCTTAATATTTGGTTAGACAATAAACATAACATTAGTTCATGTATTCTGAAATATTTTACATTAAAGTTTTCTAAATAAGTGGAAATTCTTCATATACTATAGTAGATCAGTTTTTGCCATGTTCTAAGGTATCAATCAGTCAGAATAGAGCTGGAAGGGATCTTGGAGGTCTTCTAGTCCAAACCTTCTGCTCAAGCAGGAGACTGTATCCCTACAACTTCTGAAGACAAGCTATTCCACATTAACTGTCCTCAGTGTTAGGAAGATTCTCCTTAATTCTCTCCTTGATTAATTTCTATCCATTGTTTCTTGTCTTATGTTCTGGTGCTTTGGAAAATAAGTTGACATCCTCTTCTTTGTGGTAGCCCCTCAAATACTGGAATACTGCTATCATGTCACCCACACTCCTCCTTGTTTCTAGACTAGTCACAGCCAATTGATTCATATGTTTTAGTCTCCAGGCCTTTAATCATCTTAGTTGCTCTTCTTTGCACTTTTTCTTAAGTCTCAACATCTTTTTTGTAATGTGTTGACCAAAATTGAATGCAGTATTTCAGGTATGGTTTTACTGAGGATTTATAAAACGGTAGTAATACTTCATGTGATTTTGATTCTGTGCCTCTGTTTATACAACCAAGGATTGTATTAGCTTTTTTGGCTGCTGCTGCACAGTGCTGCCTCTTATTTAACTGATCATCCACTAGACTCCAAGGTCCCTCTCAGTTACTGTTTTTGAGCCAGGTTTCGCCTAACCTGTACTTGTACCTTTAGTTTCTCCTGCCTCAGTGCCTCAGTTTTTTTTTTTTTTATTTTCTCCATTATCTTCCCAGGTGTTGATGTTAGCCTGATTGGTCTGTAGTTTCTTGGGTCAATTTTTTTTCCTCCTTTTTTTGAAGATGGAACCACATCAGCTGTTTTCCAATCCTCTGGTAGTTCCCTGGTGTTCCAGGAGTTTTGAAAGATTTGGTACAATGATTCTGAGATAACATTTGTCAACTCTAAGATGCAATACATCAGGTCTCAATGATTTATGTTCATCAAGATCAGACAAGTGTTCTCTTACTATTTTCTTGCTTATTTTAATTTTTATTTCTAGTCTGTCTTTTATAGGGGTTTTTTTTGATAGGTTTGGCTATACTTGCTTTTTGCATGAAGACTGATGCAAAAGTTAAGCTGCGCTGCTTTCTTCCTACTTCCCTTGCCATATTCTCTTTTGAGTGGACTCTTTCCTTGATTTATTTCTTGTTATTTATATGTTGAAACTTTTTTTAATATCTTTCAATTTTGTTGCAAGTATTGTTCATCCTGATCCTTTGCTTTCCTGACTTCATCTTTGCAGATTTGGCTATCTGCTGATATTCTGCCTTAATTATGTTTTTCTCTTTCCATTTTTTTGTATTTATGCTTTTTGTCTTTTGGTTTATCAGAGAGATCTTTGGGCAACCATGCTGGTTTCTTTATGGATTTCTTGTTTTTCTTTTTGAGTGGTATTTTGCTGGACTTGGCTTTAATAATCATATTTTTCAGAGTTTCCCACGCTTTTTGAGCTTTTTCTAGTTGTTTTCCAGTTTTTGTGAGGTGCAGTTCATGTCTTCCAATAGCCCTTCATGTAGATAATGCAGGTCATGGTCTAGGAAGCTGTTCTGTTGATGATACCAGTTTTAAGCTGGTGGTTCATTTCTAAAATCCTTTTCTCCCTCATTAGATGTTGGCCTTTAATTGGAAGTACAAATGAAAATACCACTTGTGCTAATTCTTTAACTTTCTTCTCTAGCTATTGCTAATCTCTTGTTATTGTTTTCAGATTCATTGTTCTGTCATTGGTGCCCACATGTAGGAGAAGAAAGGGGTAGTAATCCTTGAGATTGATTATTTTAGTACTCACATTTTTCATTTTTGCTCCAGGGAGACAATTATACATTGACTGCCTGGTCTGCAGATTATAGTTTCTGTAAGAATTGGATCTTTTATTACCAATATTCTCTTCTTTTTTCTTAGGGATACTTTTTTTCCTGTTGCAGGAATGCTGGGTTGGGCCTCTTTTTTTTTTTAGAAACTATTAATGAATGCTCTTTTGTGGGTGTCTGCATATTTTCTTCCAGGGGGAGGCTATGAAAGCTATTGTTCAGTTCCAGAGGGGCTTCATTGGAGTGAGTTAGGGTAGATAGGGGCTTTGCTTGTTCTTTTTTTTTCAAAAAGTGACATGTTTCTGTCAGTCTTTAGATTAATATATATAGGATCATTGTTTATGGAAACTTTTTATTCTCTATTGTGTTCAATTTGGGTGTGTCGGTTTTCTT